TTCCTAAATTATTTTCTGTGCGGGTTTAAGAACGACCCCTTGGATCCATTTGATGATTTCGTTGCTACCCATCTTCTCAAAAATCATTGAAAAGATCGTCTGCGAGAGACTGACGTCATTTTTGAACAACAACTTGTTAAGCCCATCTCGGAATGACTTAAGAGAAAACCATTCCACTGAAGCAGTCACAGTAGACTTTAAAAGTAGATCATAATGAACATGTATCATGGTATAATAACTATGTTTGCGGAGTTTTAATAAACATTTCACGTGCGTCGATACCATTGATCATAACTCATAAGATTCTGTATGTGACACTAAATACGGTTGATATTAGAGGGAAAATGAACGCTGTTCCTGATCTACATTACCGACATGATAATATGTAATGATGTAAAAAGGTATACTGTAGCGAATTTTCTAGAACGATATCAAGGCGCCATCAAGTCGATAAAGGATTAGGCACCGGAGATAAGCAATAAAAGCGGATGTCACTGGCCCTTTGGGATATGATACGCCTTCTAGATTTCTCTAGAATGTTAATTGTTTGCTATATAAGCAAATTGAATTATGTTTAGTCACAATCTTAACATGTAACGTGCCGAAGTCACGACACTAAAATGATAAAGCACTGTGTCGCCTTCTAGTTGCTGGATGATGCGCTCGCACCTATGGAAGTGATAGTTGAAGTATCGAAAGCTTAAATATAATAAATAAACCTATGGCAAGTAAGGAAAAAATGGCAGCCATCATGAATTTTTCCATTTTTAGCGCAATTTTTAAGGATTAAAAAAGTGTGCTATTAAATGCGTTTTGTCCATCCGTCCGTCCGGACCCACTTCTGCTTCTGCGGTTTTGAACTACTCCTATACCACTGAACCGATTTGGACGATATAAGGCTCATTTGAAAGGGCTTGGTTCAAGGATTCCGTGCATTTTTGGTTTTGCGCATGCGCAGTGTCAAAAATTTGGTTTAACGCATGTGCAATGCTAACTTTTTTATTTATGAAGATATTTCTAATGTAGACAACGCGCAATGGTATTTACGAAAGCATTTAAAAAAAGTTTCATATGTAGGCACTTACTTCGAATAAAAGTAAAACTAATGCCCATTTCAAACTTTGTTTGTATTCGTATACGCTCCACTATTTTTCATTATAAACTTTAACTTCGACGATAGGCGGCTCATTTGGAGAATGGGGTAAGAATCGCGTGCCTACCAGTATTTTTTCCCGGTCCTAGCATTAATATTATGAGGAAAATACGCTCTCGTCATTAATGTTTGCATAATGACTGTTGAATTTGTTTAATTTTAGACCTACAATTATTATATGTTGGTGCCAAAATATGTGCGTCAATATGTTCTAAAAACGATGTATACCAACATAATAATAATATTTTATTCGTCATGCTATACCATTGGTTTACGACACGTCAAGTTCTACACATAAACAATATAAAATACACAGTAAAATAATTTTTGGTAAATACATAAATAAATGATAAAAATTTAAAAAAAAGATGGCGGACATTTGTTTTATATTTACCATAGTGGGATCGAATGGGATTTTTAGTACCTATGTTGATATAAAAGATTGCCTACACATTCTAATTTGTTCTACCCTAAGACCAATATTGCCTGTACTAGTTGGGGATTGTTGCGCGCGAATTCCATAACTTGAACCTTGTAGAACAGTGTAACTTGTTCAGCAAGAAATAGCTAATAAACAAATAAAAAGAAAAATTCAAAAAAAAGGCAAAATGGCGTGCATACATAAATTTGCGTATTATAACGATACAAATTAATGTATAATTATGGGGAGGAATCTGTACCTATACTAGGGGTTGTAACTTAAGTTGTGACTCCAATATTGATTGGATCCTAGTGGTTGAAACTTAGTGGCACAAAATTTGATATTTACGTTACACATGAGCAGGGCCATAGCCAGCGCAGGGTACAACAGGGCGATTTTATGAAAAATATCCATGCCATCTTAGAAATTATTGCGACAAACGAAAATAGGAGGAATGGCAATGTGTGGTCCGAGATTGGTGAATGCGTTCACATGAAATTCCTAAAGAAATACTAGACAAGCATAAATTTTGCATTTCTGCATTTTTTTTAAATAGCTTAATAAATTATTGGGTTACAAGGTACTAGCTCGTACTTATCCTATCGATGTATCTTCTGATAGATATTAATAGGGAGGAAGCTCTTTACACATAAACATTTAAATACCGTCTGATACGCATTCAAAATCTACGCTATATAATGCAAAAAGAATCAAGCCGACACTTCGACATTCCAATTTCGAGATATTTACATTCAAGTTTCCACATCGGCTGTAGATATGTATCGTCTTGACGTTAAAATCGCCTTTTGAGAGTACCTTCTTCCGAAACTCCGATACTTCGTTTCGACATAACTCATAAGTACCTATGTCTTGTCCAGACGATTCATTTTGCCTCTGTAAGTACTCTCCTCCGACAGACCGTTTCCGAGATATTTCCTCTCTCCGAGGAGGAGGACTGTGGTTGGTATAAATTAATTCCTTTCGGATATGGTAGTGCCCCATTTCTTTATCGATCTGACAAGCATTTTTTCGGTCTTTAGCTCTATCCCAACGAAAGCCGAAAAAACTATATTTGTTAAATTAATTCCTTTCGTTGAGACGTTTCATTAAAATCTACCATGAAACCAACTACCCTCCCCAACTCCCCGATTATGACTGTGGTTAGTAGAAAACAGTTCCTTTCGTTGAGACCTTGAAAGATAAAACCAAATCTGCAACTCCCCCCCCCTCACCTATTGATCACGACAAGGAGTCGCGGAGAAAAGTTATAGTTTGTAGTTTGTAACCAATTCCTCGTGATGAAAAATAGTTTTCTCTGCCCTTATATGCGAGTCACTTCGCCGAATCCCCACATCGCCGACACGATATTTTGATGGTTAACACTGCCGATTAGGGCGCAGTGTCCCATTCGGCGATATGGACCATCAAAAAATCGTGTCGGCGCTGTGGGCATTCGGCCCGGCCCCGAATATGCACGGGATTGTAACGTTAAGTTGCAATTCCAAAATGAATTTGATCCTAGCGGTTAAAAAGTACTGCCACAAAATTACAGTACAAATTAGTACAAAATGAGTACAAAACTATGACACGAAAATTTGTATGAATTTATATACTCGGGGTTGTAACTTTAACTAATTTTAATTTGATAGTGCGGCGGTACAAAATGTGTTGCTTATGGTACATACTAGTACAAATTGTGTACAACATTATGGGACAAGCATTTATAGAAATCTGTATACTTGGAGTTGTAACCCGAAAGTATAGATTTGGTTCGAGTTTCGAGTGGTTAAAGGTAGTGGTACAAAACCTGTTATTTATACGATAATACAAATTAGTACAAAATTATGGCACAAACATTTTTATTACATTAAATTGCAACCCCAATGTAGATTTGGTCCTAACGATTGAAAGGTAGAGGGACCTAATTTGGTATCCGTGGTACCAATAAGTACAAAATATCTGCATGAATGGACTTGCTAATCTTATTAATGGGGGTTATAACATAATGAACTCCTTAAGATTTACCATCATTATTCATCTGTTCTTGATAAATATTTTATAATCAGTAAACAATAATTAGGGTCACAATAAAGTAATTTTAAGGTATAAAGGGCAACTAGAAGTGGCTTTAAAATTAGGCAAACATAAAACAGCCAATGCAATATTTTTACTAAAGTGCTCCATACCAAATAATAAAAATTAAATTAACGGATATTTGGATTATCCGAGAATGTGGAAAAGGTATACTTAGGTACGAAGACGTTCCGGTGGCGCGGACTCGAGTGGAAAGAATTGGGGCGCCACCTGCACTGAAGATTTTCAACAAAATTCACCAAAATCATTGCGTTTTTGATCGGTTTGCTAACTCGAAAAGTAAAACATAAAAATAACTTTTTTTTTTGTAAATTAGATTAGAATCATGAAATTTTAAATAGAATCGCCCCCGTGAAATCTTCCTCTGGATCCCCATTCGACGCGAATTAACTAATAGAAGCAATTAAACGAAAAAAGTTACATAATTGTGTAAATTAAGAAATGATCTTAGACATTTTCATTAATTAAATGTTAAAGGCAAAGGCGTAATTATGTATTCGATGTGTGTGTTTTTTAAATAATATTAAGTCAAGTGTCATTCACCGTTCAAGAGCGAAATGACTATTTCGGTTTATAGCGTGATGTATCGTTGAAGTCTCCAACGAGTCTAACGTACATATCGCGTTAGTATAAAAAATATGTCGAATTTTTAGGCATTGATTGGTATTTTTAATACCTAATCAATAAACGAAGGACAAGTGCGAGTACAGTGGCCCATTTTAAAGCAAAGGATTTTAATGCGTAAAAGAAAGAGAAGTCCACGGCTGACCAGCACGCAGTACTACTGTAGCTGTATCTCAGAATGCTGGTATCGCTCGGGGCATGTCTGGGTTTATACTTTTACTTCTTATTGTTCCTATTTTACGTCATTCTTTTTTCGATCGTTTTTATTTCCCTCCCCGTCTTTGCCATAAGATATTCGAGTGGAAGCCGACGGACCGAAGAGTCCTACAGGTGAAGCTATTGTCGTCCTTATTTAAAAAGTAACCTGTAAAGCGGTAGATCCTTGTCTTAAAATTCTTCGTTGTTGTGTACGCTGTACCTGGCAGCGGCCATGATTCCGAGCTTCACACTTAATCGAGTACAGGCAGCGGTCGGCGGCCCGCACTCCCACACATTCTAATGCCGGCAACGTGCACTAGACAAAGACAAGAAGTGCTGACCGGCCGATATCGGTTTTAAAAGCCGGAGGCTGATCACAACAGTGGTCTGCAGAATCTATCAACGACAAGCGCACCTGAGGTTACTACACCTGAAAATGGTACGAAGAAGGACGAATGCTACATAGTACCATTGAAAGTACTTCGCACCGCGTACTGCCGCAACTAACAGTCAGTAGAGTATTAGTTCGAAACACCTGTAGACGCTAGTATGTGATTGAACACTGAATTTTATAAATATTAGGGAATGTATGTTGCCAGAGTGTGCTAGAATGGAATCTGTCGCGAAGTGTATGTTGTTGTGTCCGGGAATGTGAGGTACAGGAGCGAACAAAGGGACTCTCATCTCCATAGGTAATTTTGGCATAGTAATTCTAGGCAGATCCTATCTTTGTTCACTCAACTTCTTGTTAATTTCACTTTCAGACTCGTCTAACTGATGCACTATTCGAATAACAAAACCAGCACGCCAAACTAAAAAGCAAAACACAGTCAGCTATAAAAACGTTACCGTCTGTTGGTTTCGCGCACGCACCGGCATCTAACAAGTTTGCCTAATTCTCAAGTTGTTTTCAATATTGTAATGATTACAATAGTACCTGTTATCCGGGAGCCGACAGACTTGTTCTTCATCAACTATTTGCTCATACTTGATCTTGAATGGCGACTAGTTACGCCCCTACTAGTTTACCTTATTTACACTTTCAGTTGCATGCTCCGTTAGACGAGCTTGCCTAAATAACGTCTCGCTGGTACGCTGTTTGCGTTAATTTTTTATTATCGCATCGTGTAAACGCGCCCTGAATCATCAATTTGAATCCCCAGGCGAACCAATCAGATCGATACATGCTCATCGACCAATCATCCACGAGCGACGACGTTTGAATTTTAAATTAAGTCGCTTAGAACATGACCGTTGAATCATAATTAAATTGGAGTACCCTACAAATTTAAAAACTCCGGTACAGTTAAAGAAAACCGGTTGCACCACCCCCTCGACACGTGGACGAGGTATAAGTAGATAGATGCACCGAGTTTTGCGGGATCCCAACACATGGCTGTCAAACCTGTCCCGTCCGGGCACGTGGAGGTTCCGGTTTACTACACCGACTCCACCACAAAACAATTTTTTGCTATTAGAAAATTTCCAATCTGGCATTGTTTATTTTTCCAGGTTAGCAAACTCTCCGAAACATCGCCGCAACCACGCATTCCGTCGATTAATTAACGCCATTAAAAGTGCCATAAATAAACATTCGATATACGTAAAAGTGCAATAACGCGAACTTGAATATTCAAAGTGAACACTGTGATACAAAAGACAATGACTCGCCGCAATTTAGAAGAACTATCTGCCAATTCCTCTTCGCCGATGGATTCAGATGGTACAATTATGTCTCCGCCTCCTCCCCAAGCGTCTCCAGCTGACCGTTCTCCTCTGCGAGACGCGCCCAGTTCACCCGCGATGTTAGCTACCATGACTCCAGTAAATGCGCTGGAATTAAAAAAAGAGATGGAGGAAAAACGTGCCATGGGACATTCTCCCCTTTACGCTCAAGTTAAGACCGAAGTGATGTACGAAAAAGACGATGAATTATACGCGCACGCAGTTCACGATAAAAACGACGCACCTATAGATCTCATATATGACGACGGAAACAAAACGGTCATTTATACGACGACGCCCCATCAAAAGGGGTTAGAAATGTATTCTTCGGATAATTCGGGAGAGATAACTATTAATAATATAAACGCTCATCACATTCAGGGACAGCAAATCGCTGACGTATTAATTGACAGTAATTCGGGTGCCATGGTGACAACGGGGGATGTAGCTGGAAGTCCTCCGGGAACCGTTTCCGTCGTTTTGCAAGGAAACGGCCAGGGACTATTACAGTATCCACAAAGTCAAGTACCTGGAACCACCGTCCTCGTTGTTTCCGAGCTGGTGGACGACATGGGTTTACCACTCGTCGGAATTAGGTAAGATTTTTTGACTAATTTTATTACAAGCGGTGCTTGAATAAACGTTGATCTTTGTCCAGTCAGCTTAAAATAGGCAACGACGCGTTTTCGTTGGTCCAAAGAGATATTCCAAGGTCAAATATTATGGCCTTATAAACCGACTACGAGATGTTGTGCTGTTGCCGAGATGAGTCTCGTATAATTACCTAAGATTCTCCCCGCTCTCGCATCACTATATATTTTAAACTCTAATAAGCGTTTAATCGGGCTTGACGATTTATATAAATCTGCAATATTGTAACGCCTCTGAAATTCACGTATTTTGGTATTCATTAACGTTCCCAATTAATGTTACCGGGTTTAATTTATTGTTGTGTTTACTATTGAGGTTTTTTTGTGTCCCAATCTCTTGCATTTCTTCATGACAGGTCATATTTTACCATGCTTCGTTACTACACCCAAATTTAACATAACCGATTAAGTGCTGGGCTTGCGGTTTTTTGTTCGTTTACGTACTTGTACTTTGTTTACTGGATAGAAAAATAATGGCCCAGTAAAATTGGATTCAATTTAATAGTGTGCTCCACTGTATCATTTATTTTCGATTTCATCTTAATCTTTCCATTCTACCTGAGCATTCTTTCATCTTAACCCTCATAAGTGTGGAGAGTCTTTGACCTGATCCCTTTTTCGAAGCCTATTAATTATCCACCAAATTATTTCTTTTATCATTTCTTCACTTGGGGTATGAATCATCGAAATGTCACCTTCACACGCTTGATTTAAGCATTTCATTCCGCTGCGACGATTTTGAAGGCAGAATCCCATTATATCGATGTAATCCCCTTTTCATGGACGCTTTGCTCGCCATAATTCTCGATTGCGAAAGTGAAGATATATGTATTATTTATAAATGATCTAAAAATGAAAATGATAAATGAGTGCAACCTTAACAGCGAGGGGTTGCCGACTTGGTACATGCTGTGTACAAGTGTAAATCAGAGGAAATGCGCTGTAATTGTGTCGATCAAAAGTAAATGTTCTACATCTAGAAAGAAGAAATGATGCGGGGCCATATTAGTGAAGCAAACTTTAACCTTGGTTTTTTCATGGGGGAAAGAGAGGTTTGACTGATGTGCAGGAAAAATTCGGCGGGCGCTGTGGTACACACCACACAGTTGTTAGGATCATTCGGCACGGAAACATTACATGAACTCATCCATCCATCTAACATCGTCAAAAGGCATCTCGCATTTGACGTTTTGATCTTATGCACGATAGTGTCGGGGCCTATCAGTTTCTTTGTAAGTACCCACTTTCAGGTCTACGCTTTTCGTCAGAACCTATTGTTTTATCGATTTAATACCGACTTTAATACATAGTATGTTATCAAGAGAAAAAGGTCTGCGACAGCATACATATGCGTGGGACGATCCGAAAATGTCTGCCAACTATGACAAAAACTACTCAGATATTAAGAAAAAAAACTTATTTTTATTGTTTTCCAAAATGTTTTTCTTTTAACTTAACACATTTTATCCATAAAACCAATAACAGTCGTGCCATTGCTCTTGAGTCACCTCCGATACAAGGTTTTGAAACGCAAGGACGGTATAATTTGGAATTAAAGAACGACGACCGCGTAATTTTTCTCTGAATTTAGGAAATAACAATAATTCACACGGAAATAAAATGGGAAAATCCAGCAACTTTACCTTTGGCTGCTCCAAAAACCGCATTGTTTGCACCGCTGTGTCATGTACCACTGATCATTAGGCAACTGTTTTTTGAACCCGGAGTAAATGTGTAAAAAACGCGGAATCATTTTCTTTCCTGCACTGCGAGCTGCGAGACTGTTTAACTTTCACGATTGACGTTTTGATTGCGGTGCCAAGACATAAATCCATCGTGACCACCTGTTGACCTACCACTGCGGTAGTTTTTTTGGCATCAATCAACACGCCGTTCTGACCCAACGACGAAAAACTTTTCTCACTGTAAGGTGATCGCGCAACATTGCACTCACACCAATCCCCGGGGTAGGTACTCTAAATAACTCGGTATGTAAAACGATTGTCTTCTTCAATCATTTCGGAACAGAAGTAATATTTCCTTCGTAACGGCAGAGATTGGATGTTCCCCACGTAATTCACCAACTCGTTCAAAAATGAATTCGTGAAACCAATTAAACACTTCTGGGACTAGAGGATTCAATACCAAATGCACCACAAAGTCTTTTAACATATTGCTTCGCGGTCAGACCACACTTGGAATAATAGACAATCATATTAGAGCGAAACGTTTCGAAAGAGTAATATGCACACTGAGACACAAAGAAAAAAAATGTCAAACAAAACTATGTAGACTTATTTAGTTTTATTGGCAACATAGGTATCTTGAGGACTTATTTCGGTTTGCAGAAATTTTCAGAGTAACCTACGTACCAGTAGTGGCAACTAAAGGCTTATTTTATTCATTTAATAACAAGATTTAAGTACAAAAGGATTATTCAAAATGGGCCTTTTAGCTAAAATATTTTCACTTTTGTACCATTTCCAGTTTTACTAAGAATTAATCATTTCTGGCAAAATAAAAAATGTGCGGTGGCTACCACGCGCACATCTGCGCATTCGCGATTCTGCACAAAACCTTTTCAGCTATTTGGTTCGTTATGCTATGCACCAAGGCTGGAATTCTTTCTGTGCTACAAAATCTATTTTTTATGCATCTTAATGTTAAACTTTTGCCACCTATTGTGCTTATGCGCTTCTTGCATTTTGATCCTTCTTTAGGCAAAACTCAAAAAAGAAACTTGCTCAGTTTTAGCGATCCTTTTGGCCCAGATAGAGAGACCCAAAGTCTGGATCTAAACCCCAATTTGGGGAAACGGTTGGAGCCATTATTTATTATGTGCACGTGTTTAACAAAAATGCATTTCCAAGTTTGGCTGGGCGAATTTGGTAGGGTAACTATTTTTTTGGGAAAAAAAGACTGTTAATATGCAATTTGCAAATGCACTTTTGGAATATACCGTTTACGATTACTTTTGTAACTTGTTGGCTTCCTAGCATGAGCTAGGGTAGCTATTGCGATCACCGTGTTTTGGTCATGTCAAAATTACGTTAAAATATACAACGAATCGATGTATAATATAATTCTGCATCCGATCATCAAATAATACACAGGGTGTTACATGATAAAACCAATTTTTCATTGTTGTAAATGATGAAGTTGGTCATTACAGTTAGGGCACCCTGTACGCGATAAATCAATTTTCATTGTGGAAGTCGAAATTATGCTGTAACGGCTTAATTACTATTTACACGTAATTTAACCTCTACGGCAGTGGCAAAGATTCCAACTCCAATCAATTTTTATTTTATCCACGGCTAGCTCAATAATAAAAAATACCCTTATCTTGCGGAATTTTGGCCTCTTGTCTCTTCTTAAAATTCAAAATCTAATGCTTTGGTTTTTTTGAACTCTAATAAATACGCATATGACTTTAGTTGATTGAATATATTTGAGGAAAACAAAGGCGATCAAATTCCATTTTTCTGTACACGTTCCTGGATGTAAAATACATTCATAAAAAGAACCGCAATACAATGCAATGCCTCGTGATCATGTAGCAGTACTAGAAATAATCGCATGTAAACATTGACGTGGGGTAATATTCTCTTCTGGTACCAAATTGATGTTATCTCTCTTTGGAAAATGGCGCTTCCTTTCGAAGTATGGCTACAGACCGCTTCGTTGATACAGTTGACTTTCTGCACGTACCGATCAATTGTTTTTAAATTCCCTTCCGTATTCTGTTATGTATACAATTTTATTTATCGCACCTGTCCAATGATGTCACTCATCTGTGAGGAACTGCGTTTAACCAGCCATTACATTTAGCAATCCCAAAAAACTTCTTTTTCACAATGAGTTTCAAGCTTAGTTTATTTAATCCCATTTTTTATATGAAAAACGATGTCTCGAAAATGTTCCTTCGCGTAAATTTTCTCACTTGTAAATAAAAGTCTTTGTTACGAATCAGGCGAAAAGTTTCTTATGTCGCAATCCACTGTACTTCGTCTATTCGCACACGTATAAAATTGCAGGTAACCCACAATGTTTCACAAACCCGAACAACGTACTAGAAATTTAAAAGGTCTCGTCACTTAATATGTTTTTCACTCGAAATTAAACCGTTAATCTTTAGAGTGACTCAAATGGATTTTATCCACGAAGTCCGCGTTCTGGTTCTTGCATCGAATTATACGCGAGGATATTTCTTGCAACCCAGCTAAAAATGCAGAGCGCGAATCAATTTTTTACGGACTATATTTATACCTGGTCGCTCATGAAGTTAGACGAAAACCTTTTGTATTGACGCGAAATAAACCAACAACAATAATAAATTAGCGTACCCAAATTGGTACTGCCTCGCACTCGTAACTTCTCTAAGAACGCTCGCGAAAACCAACTTTTTAACGCGCCCAAATGGTACGGATCCACTCTTCAAAAGTATAATCTCATCTTCCAAAAACCCCCTTGCAACCCGGTACCTCTCTTCGCTTATCTCGCACCACACACTTATCCAAAACGTACACGTTGTTATCTCCAGACATACTTTCGTTTTCGTTCGCTATGAAGCGATACGTGTATAAATTTCCCTATGTTTAACAAAATTCCAATACAATAAAGTTATAATAAAATAAAAATATAAGTAATAAAATTAGTTCATGTCATTTAGAGCTAAGAATGAAGTACGCTATTTTTCTGGCAAAAATAAGGGTGGGCCTAATCTTTCAAAAGTTATGAGCTGCACTTTGACACATTTTTATCTAACGTCGCTGTTATTTGAGAACTGCTGTAGTGACATTGTTCTTAGAATGCTTCTCTCACTAACATAAAAATAAGATACAAAGAATCGCATACGATTTTCAGTAAGGGAATTTTTTTCCACTCTGCTCGTATTCGGAAACCAGACTTTTATTCCGGCTCATATTCAATAGCAGTGATCCTTG